TGACTTAGATTAATACTTAAAAAATTAAGCCTATTTTGAGAGGAAACTTTATTAGATCTCATCATAGTCAAATTCAAACATTTTACAGTACGGTATTTCAAAATAACACTCTTGTGTAATGGAAATCTGCAAGCGACTGAGGCCGAGGGTGAGGGAGGGCATGTGAACCAGGCTTTAGAACAAGGGCAAATTCTGCCAAACTTTCTCTTTTCCTCCCCCATGTCCCGTTAGACGGTGGGTGGGGCTTCAAAGGCTTCACACAATAAACAGTTCATTCATTCACAGTAGAGAAGAGTTTTTGTGGCAGTGACGTATGTCTCTTGCCTGCTCTTAAAGTTCACACATCTGGACTTCTTTAAAACAATTATAAGTGATAATCTTTATCTATATATAAAGCCAAAAGTACCCATGAACTTTTGAGAAAACTACAAGTCACACCCCCATAAACCATATACTTAAAATGTTCGTCATGACGAGAAACCTTGCGCAAAATTATCCATTATTTCATAAGTTGCCCTATAAGGTCGTAATTGCTTTCCAAAGGGAACTTTCCATTTACCTAATGTTAAAAATACCTCAGCTGTTATTATTTGTTTGTATTCTGCTTTGTTTATTTCATCTTAACTTAACCAATCAATAGTTTTATTAATACTAATGTAGTAAAATGGGATGTAGCCCGTGGGTACAGCTAGTTAAAAATAAGTGAAAAACTGTTGACATTTTCAAGGAAAAAAATTTGAGAAGTAAAAGTGTAAAAAATTTTGTTTGATTAGTTATTCTGTATTTCAAAAATATCCTCATTTATGATTATGTTTTCAGCTAGACTTGGTGACTTTTTCATAGTTAAACAAATTTTGAAGATATATAATTAGTGAGAAAATGTCATTATATAGGAAGTTAGTTTTTACTCACTTGGGGGAAAAACTTACCTTACAAAGAGTATTTGTAGACCAAGATGAAGGCTACGTAATTAAAAAAAAATTATAAACTAATGAGTTAACTTAGACAATTTCATGGAATTTCAAATAAATACAAAAACTGAGAAATGACTTAGATAAATACTTATAAGCCTATTTATAAATTAGAGGAAACTTTATTAGATCTCATGCTTTAGTCAAATTCAAACATTTACAGTAGGCCTATTTTAAAATAAACACTTAATTCCATATTTTTGCATATTTTTTTCAATTAATAATAAACCTTTAACACCAAAATATAAGTTTGATACACATACATATTGTGTTTTTTATATGGTATAAAAGCTTTTAACCAGGTCTTTTTTTGGTGAATTGAGAAATGCTTTGTTCGTAAAAATGAAGATGTAGGTTTTTTGCCACATCTATATGTAAAATAAAATTGTTGATTTTCTCGTGAACTACTCGACTCGACTCGACTCGATACTCGAGTATTAGGGCTAATTACTCGACTCGACTCGACTCGACTCAAAAAAACACTACTCGCCCATCCCTAGCAAACTATCAGTTCTATTTCATGTAAAAAATTAAACAACCCCTAAATAAAATACAAAGATAAACAGTATTTGTTAATTATTATTTCTTTTATTGCTGACAATATTCCCGTGGTGGAGCACGGGCGGTTAACTAGTTTAATTATATTAAAAACCAACTGACTTTGTCAATGACCTGAATGAATCTTATGGCATACAAACATGTTTAAATACGGGTTTTTTAGGTACTAGGCTTACGTGATTGGTAAATAGTCCAAACTTGCACAAGATGTTTTGTGTGTATAGTGTAAAGTTTTGGGTCTCTTGTGCCAGTTTGGACTCTTTCCCGTGCCTGCTATCCTAAAAAAATCCTAAAAATATTTAAATAGATAAGATGATAATTAACTAAATAAAAACCTTTAGAGCTAAAGGTCTATTCACACACATCAGTTCCGGCGTGTTACAGTTCAGTCACATCACAGTCAAAGAATTTATTCTTTAACGGATTTTCTTTTGCGCTTTCTACACTCATTTGGCACAGTTCTGGCGCACGTCCGTTAGTTTCTCCGCTGGAATTCGTCAGTCAATTTCAGATTTCTTTCCATCGATATTTTGGGATTGTTCAGATGCCTGATGGACCTGTGATGTAAGTTTTTGACAATAAAAAATTTTTGTTTTTGTTATTTAAATAGTTGTTTTTATATTCTAAGTACTTTATGTAACAATCATCAAGATGGACGATGACAAGTTTATAAAATACAGTGGACCTCCTCTTAACCGACCTTGTATTAACCGATAATCGGATTAACCGATAATCGGATTAACCGATAATCGGATTAACCGATAATCGGATTAACCGATAATCGGATTATCTGCCTTCGATCGTAAAATAATATAGTTTGTTTTAACCGACCTTGCTTTGAGAGCAGTTTGGTTTAACCGCTGCTTTCTAAGAATCTCGGCATTTCCCCTCCCACGCTGGGCGATGAGAACTGAACCATAGGCTTATCTCCACAGGATATGACTAAGAATAAGTTATTTTGTATTGATTACAAAAAATATAGCATAGCCTATTGTCAGTTTGTCATCATCGTAGCTCAAGCACATCTTATCTGATTTGTTATCTGTGCGGCATATTATCTTATCGCTGGAGTACACAACTTGTAGGGAGGGCAGGGAAGGGGGTTTAATAACTCCAAGGTCAAGATAGTTTTTGTGCCTCGAGCCTCCAGTATAAATAAACACCCTGTCTTAGTGTCTTGTAATAAAATGGTTGCTTGTATCTTTAATTTCAACAAAAGGTTCTGTACTGTATTACGATGGATTTGGAAAGCATCAATGAATACATTACAGTACTAAAGTTATTAAAATAGGAATTTTTATTGACTCTTGCCTAGTATTATAATACACCCGAAGTAGGCCTATATTTGACTTAACCGTGTTTTGTGTTTATTTGGGACTTTTCTATCAATACAAAAAAGGATATAAGAGTAGTTTACTAGTTTATTTTATAAATAATGTGATATGATATAGATAAATATGATTATATAATTCCAAATGAATAGCACTTCATTATGATATGATTTTAGAGATTGCCCATTTTAACCGACCTTTTGAGTTATTTGACCTAGGTCCGGTCCCATTAGGGTCGGTTAAGAGGGGTCTACTGTATTGTGTTTTAATTAAAATGATCTTGACTGTAACATCACTGTAAATTAAGTGAGAGAAGACTGACTGAAACAAACCAGCTGACGGACAGTTGACTGAGGAATTATGGATGCAAGTGTGACTGAACTGTGACTGGACTGATGTGTGTCAATTAGTGATGGATCAATAAATTTGAATTGAATTGAATTGAATGGTCGGATCTGGATATCGGACTACCGTATCCGCCGGATCCGAGCTAGAACCGGCACCGGATCGGACCCAAAAATTCTGGATCTTGGGTTGGATCCGGTTTTGATGGATCCGATTTTTTCCGATTTTCCCCGTTTTTTTTTTTTTACTTACACAAAGCTGTCTGTATCCATGTAAAAGACCGATTTTTTACTCAATGTCACAGTGCTGTATATTGCGACGTCAATAACCTCTTTAGTTAGGCAATGTCTCAACTGTATGTTACGACATCAATAACCTGTATGGCTGGGCAATGTCACAGTACTGTATATTACGACGTCAATAACTTGTATGGTTGGCAGGTTGGGCAATGTCACAGTACTGTATATTACGACGTCAATAACCTCTATGGTTGGGCAATGTCACAGTACTGTATATTATGACGTCAATAACCTCTATGGATGTGCAATGTCACAGTACTGTATATTACAACGTCAATAACCTCTATGGTTAGGCAATTTCACAGTACTGTATATTACGACGCCAATAACCTCTATGATTGTGCAATGTCACAGTACTGTATATTACGACGTTAATAACCTGTATGGCTGGGCAATGTCACAGTACTGTATATTACGACGTCAATAACCTCTATGGTTGGGCAATGTCACAATACTGTCGTCAATAACCTGTATGGTTAGGCAATGTCACAGTATTGTATATTACGACGTCAATAGCCTCTATGGTTGGGCAATGTAACAGTACTGTATATTACGACTAGGGATGTGTCAAATCAGGATCTCGAATCCAACGAATCTTAAGAAAAGATCGGGATTTGAGAATATATATTTTTTAGAATGGAATTATGAGGCATATACTGTAACATTGACTAACCATAGAGGTTATTGACGTCGTAATATACAGTACTGTGACATTGCCTAACCATACAGGTTATTGACGTCGTAATATACAGTACTGTGTCATTGCCTAACCATACAGGTAATTGACGTTGTATTATACAGTACTGTGACATTGCCCAACTAATATCATCAACTAATAGTTTTATTTTAAGATTTGGAAAAGTTTTAGTGTCCCCAAAAAATGAGGGATTATGGGCTCAACTGGAGATTACTCTATATATAAGATATATTAACCTTTAAACTTTACCAATTTAATTTTAAACAGTATGATTTAAATTGGCATTCTGTTAATTACATTTTTTAACAAGCCCTTATGACAGTGTGTATCTGGATCCAGATCTTCGGATCCAGATCCGAATTTTTCAAGATCCAGATCCGGATCTGGTACCGACATTTTCTTGGATCCGCCCATCACTAGTGTCAATCGACTTTAATTTAGCATTCTCCATTATTTTACATTTTTGTGGACAAATTCAGTTGCTAAAGAAAATGTTATTCCAATCTATTAAGTCCAATAAGAGTTGGTCCTATGTTGACAAATGTCTATTGAATGGCTCATATGAACTGGTGCTGAAAAGTCCACTATTCAATTGGGCTTTCTTTCTATAACTAGTCATGCAACTGTTATTATTTGCTCAGTGACTCTACAGTTACGGATTTTTTTTTTAAATATGTTAGTGGTCTACAAAAAGTTTGTTAGATTAATACCTCTTACTTCTCATTGTAAAACATCTATCTGGAAATAATTGTCAGCAATCCATACTTGGTGATACAAAGAGTGACTGAAATGAACTTACCACCAGAACCAAAGAGAAACAACAAAGATCTGATTATGTGCAAAGGTCATCTCATCAGGAGATTCTACAACAGGTATTTCCTCCTCAGTTGTGTTTTCTGAAGAATTGTTAGCAGGGCAGAGTGTGGCATCTTTAGCTGAATCCCTGTGGGACTCTGGATTGCTGTATAAGTAAAACCCATTACCTGAAAAATATAAGAATATAACATATGTATTTGTCATAACATATTATATTCTCCTAATAGGCCCTAACTAAATAGTCCAGCCCCTATAGGGGGTTGAGTATGCACTGAAAATGTAACGCATTTTGACTTTTGATTGTTGTTGGGGGCACATTGGAGATGACCAAAACCGATGTTGCCGCCCTCCCAGCAGGTGCACAACCTAGGGGGGAGGGGGGAAAGTACGGGGGCGCGCTCTATAGAATCGCTCATAACTCGCGAACTAGACTCGATAGAAACATGCTAGCCTATAAACGGCATTCTATTACAAATATTATTCTCTAAAAAAAATATTATTAGAGAAAAACCCGTATCTGCTATACAAATTCAGTAATTAAACATTTTGAATTAGTTTATTGAATTTAAACTCAAAATAACGTCTAATTAATAATATAATCTAATAATAAAACCTTCAAATAATAAATAGTATTGTGTTATTGTGTATTGTGGGTTTTATACACTAAAAAATCAACATCACGTAGTATTTATTTGACAATATGACAAGGTTATACGAGGTTTACTGCACGGTGACGCCGCCGCTGCGCCGCCACGTGGCAGAGATCACACGACAATCGGCGATGGTCAGTGTAGTTGTTTTTTTTTTTTTGTTTTTTTTTGTGGGGGCTGGTGTAGTTGTTAAAAAGTTATATGTTTAATTTATTATTTAATTTTAAAACAAGCTGTGTGCCCGTTCTACGCACGGGGATCTTATCATAGTCAGTTAAAACCTTCTTATATAAAGCACAGCAGTTGGTTTGCATACTTTCAGATATGCTGACAAAACTATTCCTTCGCAAATACAGTATCTGACAGTTCAAGCCAAAACTAATGCTTCGCAATTAAATGTCACCCGGATCTTGTTGGTCCATATGTTATATCCAATGATTAAACTAAATAAACGGTATCAGCATTCTGACACATACTTTCTCCCATAAGTTTGTCAACAACCTTTATCATGTGTAAGCGGTGAGAGTAAATATACGGAAATGGGATTTGTACAATTTTGTTCAGAATTTAAAGGACTATAACTTATAACATAATGGTTAAAAGTATTTAAGGTACTACCTCAACCTCTTAATTTAACACTTTATTCGGGTTGACATTTTCATTATCAAAGGCGCTCTTGTCCTTTCCGTGAAACATTGAGAAACAAGGACATTAATGCGTTACCATCATACATACACACAAAAATACCGAACTTAATTAGGGAATCTGCTACGTTTAAAGCATAAAAAGGTACATATAAAATTAGTACTTGAAATCTTTGTTAATGCCATAAAATTTGATCATAACAATTTATATTTGCTTGGACCGGAGATGACTCGAAATTCTGTCGAAATGCTATCTGAATCGGTTTACATAAACAACGTTCAAAGTGTTTGAACGATTCATGATGGTTTGCTGAATAAATGTTTTACTAAAATGCGTTATAGTTTTCTTAGCATAACATTTTGGAATCCAGACAGAAAAAGCAAAAATTATACAGTTAAGACATCAATTAAATTGAATAGGCCTACGCCTGTAATAAATAAGGTGCAACACCAACGATAACTAATTTGTAAATTACTGTGATGTGTTGGTACGTAAAAATGATTCTTGCTGCTACTAAAGGTTAAAAGGAAAAGAACCAGTACCGTACCAAATACCCCCGCCGCAGCAAACCTGCCGACTAAGCGAATTTCCATTGGTCAGAATTGATTTTCAGTTAACCCTCCCAGTGTTACTTGACGAAAATTCGACAAGCAGCACACTTTGTGTAGTGTTACTTGTCGATTTTTCGACACGCAGACATCGTTTACGGCGAAGGCTCTATGACTGACTGAATCGGATTGAACTGGATCGAGTTAGGTATCGTTCTTTCCGTAATATTCTAAGCTTTCTCCAGAGGTCTGTCTCTAAGCGCTATTCATTTTAGTTCCGAAAATATTGTAGCAGACAGCTGACGTGCGTGTATTTGTAAACAGCTAGGTTCCCCCGGACCGATGACTGATGTGTTTTATTACGTTTATCATTGTTTTAGTGTTAAAAATCAAAAGTAGTGATATACATGGTGCATTATAAGAAGATTTAAGTGGTTTTGAAGTGCTGGTTGATGATCCTGAAGAAGTAGGTAGTGATATTGATGTAAATTATCAGCCAGATTCCTAGCTATGGTTAGGCTATGCATTCTTAGCTAAACGCTATGTACTGAAATCAGTTTTTTGCCCATAACTTATTTATTTGCAAATATACTTCCTTATATTATTATATATTTGTAATCCTCATAAAACTTAGAACAAAGTGGCTATTTTCAAATATTTATAGGCCTATAATTTATACAATTTCATTGAGCGCAAACTTATTTTTTTTTTTGAAAATTTTCGAAATTATATTTTTTTTACCTAAAAATTTTTTTTTTGGAAAAAATGTTCCTTATGTTTTATATATAATATTGAAGCCCATGATTTTCCAAACATACAACAATATGGTATATAGAACATTAGAATTAACATTGTTTTAAGCTTCTCAGATCCGTTTTAATAAAACCTTGCAAATGCGCCAAAAATAGGTGGACATTAAGGCCTAAACTATGGACACTTGGAGGGTTAAATATATTTTAATAACATTGGGTTTAACGAGTACCTAGGTTTGCTGCTACAAGGAAACTAATAAAGTGTGTTTTTGAGTAAAATATTGATAACTTAGTACAAAATAAATAAATTTGCCAAGTTTGATCAAAATATATTCATAAACAAGCAAACTACAACATTTGACAATATTCTCCATAAGAAATAACATGGGAATTTTAAATTTACAATTTTTTTTAATTTTCTCCGTTACTAATAATCGAACAAAAATACTTTTATATACTAAATTATTTGTTTTTTTAAGTTCTTTAAAATTGTCTAAAACAAAATTGGGAAATTTTGTGTTTTGAGGGTCAAAAGTGAGAAAAACCAATTTTTACCCCATAAAACCCCCCGTAAAGCCCCGTTCCCATGGTCCGATCGTGCTGGTTCGCGAACTCATTCAAGTTTATCCTGCTTTACACCTTTAAACCAAATTTCATCAAAATCGGACAAAAATTACTCAAGTTATCGCGTTCACGGACGTATATATCTAATATATAAAATTCTCGTGTCACAGTGTTTGTCTGCAAACTCCTCCGGAACGACTTCACCGATCGTTATGAAATTTGGCGTGTAAATTCTGTAGGCATGCGGATCGGACGTAAACTATTTCCCGTTTCGAAATTCTTAAAAGGGCTCCGCCCCAGTGGCTCTGGAGTTTCCCATGTTAACCTTATGAGAAATGGAATTAATGAATCTTAACAGCTGTTTCAATTAAACAAGTTGGTTCTGTTCTATGATGTTCAATAGCATTAAAGTTACAAGGATTACCAACAGGGTGCAGCACTATTATTTCTTTTACATTTATGACAACAGCTAATTTGCAACCAAAAGGTGAGTGAGCGTAGCGAACGAACTTCAACCTGGAGGTGAGTGAACGTAGCGAACGAGCTAACCTGAAGGCAAGTGAGCGCAGCGAACGAGCTCCAACCTAAAGGGGAGTGAGCGTAGCGAACAAACTTCAACCTGGAGGCGAGTGAGCGTAGCGAACGAGCTAACCTGAAGGCAAGTGAGCGCAGCGAACGAGCTCCAAACCCAAAGGTGAGTGAGCGTAGCGAACGAGCTCCAACCCAAAGGTGAGTGAGCGTAGCGAACGAACTTCAACCAGGACGTGATTGAGCGATGCGAACGAGATCATCTTGAAAATTAAACGTAACGGTACTTTCTTTCCATCGGTCTGTCTTAGGGGAAACCTATAACTTAGGCGATACGAAGTTCGCCGGGTCAGCTAGTATATATATATATATATATAAGTCTATATATATATATACATATATAAAAATTTGAACGAATGGTGTTTTTGGCCTCTGGGGACATCAAAATGAAAAAGTAAATCGGTCCCGGGTCTAGGTCATACCGTGCCACCTACGGTAATAGCTACTTCCCTATAGGGAAATTCGCTAAAACCAACGTTTACAGTTAAGAACTGTAGTACAGCCGACCAATTATATGCGTAAATCAAGGTTATTGATCTCTTGGTTTTGGATTTTCTCGTAAAAAGTTATCGGCAATCAAAGTTTATTTCCCATTAATTGCTTTATTTGTACACAACTCTTAATGTAAACTTATTGGTGTCAGTTTGAAAAAAAAAAAACCCTTATACAACATAACTTTCTGTTATTTAGATTATGTATTCTCTAAACAATGGTTGCTGGTATATATATTAACATTATAAGGAAATGTGACAAAAATCACACAACGTTGGGTTTTTGGACGTTTATAATTTTATTTCTTAAGTACCTAGGTAGGCCGTGTATTCTATGGAAAAGTACCGGTATCAAGGATCGTTGAGCAGCAAGAAGAGTGGCCGGAAAAGCAGCTGCAAGTTGCCTTGGAACAGTTTTTGCATTTGCATGGTTGAAGTAACGCAGTAGGAGTAGGAGTCAGTTCCATAAGTAGATGGCGTAATTTTCCAGAGCTATCTTTTAAAAATCCGTTCTTTGATAAATCTAAAGGCTCAATTTCAGCAATTAAAGAATTTTCCCAATAGTATAATTGAGCACTGCACCGTAATAGATGTAATTTGTAACTGTCCGATGTACAAGACATTTTGCTTATGTCCTTGACGGCAGATGGGTTTGTGGGGATTTGGATGTAGCGACTTTCATTACAAGTTTGACCTTTTCTTCTCAATAACTTCAAATACAATGCTTCTAATCTTTTCACGCTGTCATCCAGTAGTGGGCGTTGGTTTAGAAGTTGCAAAATGCCACAGGTTTCTTCTGGGTGGTTTTTGGCATACTTGAAGGCTGAAGTTTTTGTAGCTATTTTGCTTGTTGTGTCACATCCTGTCAAGCAATGTAGAGCTGGCAAAACCTCACGAAGTCTATTGCCTAAAACCTCTGCTGCTTTGTGGCAACTTAAACTTCTTTTTTTAGCTCCTACGTCAACAGTTAGCCACAAACCTTGACAACCAATTTGTTTAAAACTATCCCAAAATCGTATGCCTAACACACAATACACAAGTTGTTTGAAGGGTTTTAATAATTAAAATTTATAATAATAATAATTAAACGTTATTTTTCACCACACTATGATGTTTTTGGCTGTATTACATGCGTTAATTGGTGGCTGAAAGTTACGTTTTGCTGGCCATGCCACCTGTCATCGTAATTTGGGGACCGAGCAGGTTTTTACAGGCCGGGGCCGCAAAATCAGCTGTCCGCTTACTTACTTAAAACATGAATGCATTTTAAATACACAATCAAAATTCATAGCATTGCAATAGAATTGTGTTATTGTCACCGTTGCCTAGCAACTATTTATTTTTATTTTTGCTGATTCCTCAAATTATTTCTTCACATAACCTTAAAGTTCTAGTTGTGTTGACTATCAGTGCAGTGTGCATTATTATAGTGGTGAATAGTGGTAATAGGGTATAGTGTGGTGAAAAATAGCGTTCGTACCACGGACCGAAATGGTTTTGCCGCTCTCGATCGATTTAAGTTCTCGACTTCGTCTCGAACTTAAAAACTATCTCGAGCCGGCAAAACCTCATTTTCGGCCCTAGATACGAAATATACTATTGAGTTTAAATGCAATAAATTTAAAAAAATGTTTTGATATTCAATTTAAATAGCAGATACGGTTTTTTTTAATAACATTTTTTTAGAGAATAATATTTGTAATAGAATGCCGTTTATAGCATGTTTCTATCGAGTCTAGTTCGCGAGTAATGAGCGATTCTTTAGAGCGCGCCCCCGTACTTTCCCCCCCCTTAATTTTGTTAAAAAAGCTATCCAAATATCTCGTAATTCCATGTTTTAGTTTATAACTCGTATATCAGTCAAGATACGACTTCGGACCTAATGACCTTTATTGTTAACCACATTTTTTAGATTAAAACGACGTTTTAACCGATGTTCTATCTTTTACCATTTCGGAGATATCTGCGTTTTAACGCATAGCGCCCCCCCCGCCATGTTTGCCCCCCTCCCTCTAGGTTGTGCACCTGCTGGGAGGGCGGCAACATCGCTTTTGGTCATCTCCAATGTGCCCCCAACAACAATCAAAAGTCAAAATGCGTTACACTTTCAGTGCATACTCAACCCCCTATAGTTGCCGGACTATGGCTTGTAACTTCCCGGACGGGTGACGGATATATCCGCCTAAGTCTTTGGCGATAAAGGACGGGTGGCGGATATATCCGCTTATGGTTTTTCAAGTTCTGGACGGGAAGCGGATATATCCGTCTTCTCTTCAGACAGACTGGCAGGTGCTTGAGCAGTAACCAGATGTTTCGCAGTACCAAGGCGCCACTTTCCTGCTCTCTTCATGGCTGCGCTCTCTCCCGCACTCCCCCCTCTCTCCCGTGCCTACCCCTCTCCCGCGTCTCCCCCTCTTCCGCGTACCACGCACCTCTCCTACGCCCCCCTTGAGGTTTCGCGCTCAACACTACGTTGTCTTTATTTATTGTTTACATATTGTTCTTTATTTATTGCCTAACGTTGTCATGGTCATAACCTCAAAGACGGGTGGCGGATATATCCGCTGCTTTTCTACTCATCCGCGGACGGGTAGCGGATATATCCGTATAGTTAAAAATTAGTAAAAAATTATTTTGACAGTATGAAGTGTTCCATTGTGTTTATTTGATGTATACTTGTATGAAATACCCCCGCCACAGCAAACCTGCAGACTAAGCGAATTTCAACTTGTCTGATTACATTTGTACTAAAATATTTCCATAAATAAGACATATTTATTCCCTAGTTAAATAAGATTAGATTTAACAAGTGTTCCTATATATTTTATATTTTCCTAATATTGTCTACAATAAGTAGTAAAAATTTCAACAATGAACCTTTAGTGGCTCTCAAGATATATCGCATTTTGCCTTGAAAAACGTGAATTTTCAATGTTGCGGAAAACCGCGTTTGAATAAGGTGTCCTATGATCTTGTAGCTATCGTAAAGAGCAAAACCCGTGGAACATTCAGTCATGGATTATATCATACTGTTTGGATGTAATAGGGGGTCCAATGTACAAAGAAATGAAAAAAAAATATTTTTTTAAATTTTCATGATTATACCTATTTTCAGTGGCAAATCCCCTTAAAAACATGACTCAGGCCTCTTTTCTTATGGTTTTTATATTGTACATTTAATAGTATGATAAATAAATCAAAACTCTCACTACTTATAATTAATTTAACATAAACATAACCCACATTTTAAAATACAACATCAGTTTAATCAATGTTTGTATAAAAAAATCACAAACAGTCAAAACTCTATTTCATAATATTACGTAACACGTCACCCGTTCTATAGTCAATGACATTATTTGCATTTAATTTATATTTAATTAGCTTTGTGCTTATTCTCTTCAAATTGTCAAATACTACAGTATATTTTCTGTTAGAAATAACCCTAAGACGGAAATCCATTATGGTGGGATAAAATGTAAAATTGTATATAATTTATTTTAAAAGATGTTAAATATTATCATAGATCAAGATTTCCACAGTTTTGTGTTAGTTGTGAAATATTCCAGGAACAGCTGATATTATTAAATTTACATTAGATCACTTGAATTGTATGGTAAAACTTCAAAATGAGTCTAATACCATGAAAAACTGGGTTTTTGAGTGTTTGTTATTTTATTACCCAAAAAATACGTAAACACGTTTCAAGTAATTAAAAACCTTCTCATGCATGTAGAGACAGTGGCGGATCCAGAAGGGGGGGGGGGTGAAGGGGACGACCGCCCCCCCCTCGGGCATACATACATATATAATTGTTACTGCATGTAAAACAGTAGTGCATACACATTGCGTAAAATAAATTGTCACATTAACTTTGGACAAAGAAATGGTATAAAACTGCCATTTAGGAGACTTAGTTTGCACACATTTTTCAAGGGGGTACCCCAGAACCCTCCATACCCCCCGTTTCGCCCCCCCCCCCCCTTGTGACTGTTCTAGATCCGCCACTGTGTAGAGAGAATACATAGGCCTAGATATAGTTTCATCATAATCTGTTTTGTCGTTTTCCCGGAGAAGAGAGCGTAAAATGCCATCTTGAGTGTTACAGGAAGACAGACAGACGGACAGGAATGAAGATAACACGCGTTTCGGCTTTCATATAGAATGAAATGAAAAAATAACCGAAACATTTATGATTCTACGCAATGTACAGACAAAACTCTAATTTTATTTATATAGATGAACTAAGAATAGGATATTACAATGAATGTGGATGTGGTTTGATAATTAAAATGAACAATAAAATGAACAATATTAGGTCGCCATCTTGGTTTAGTCTAGCTCAGTAAAATAGAATGAGTACTATATTAATAATTTTGGACAAAAGTCGGACATATATATATATATGAATTCGAACGGATGGTGTTTTTGGGCTCTAGGGACCTCAAAACAAAAAAGTAAATCAGTCCCGGCTCCAGGTCTTACCATGAGTACTACGGTAATAGCTTATTCTCTATATGGGAAATTCGCTAAAAAAACACTTTTTAACCCTTCCTTTTGCAGCAAACCTAAGTTCTCCTTAAACTAATGCTATTTAAATAGGGAATAAATGTAAATTTTTAAAGAGATATTTTAGTGTAAATCCAATAAGGCAAATGGAAATTCGCTTAATCTGCAGGTTTGCTGCAGCGGGGGTATTAAACTATTTTGACAGTTTCTGGGATGATGAACATTTTTTGCCATTATACAATACATACAGTACTATGTAAAATTCTCAACAAGATGGACACAGAAGTACCTCTATAAGTTCTATGTTATAGGCATACCCAGCTTAGTTTGATGATATCTACTTTTATTAGAAATATTAACATACTTTTTTGTAATCTGAACTCCAGAGTAAGGTATTTACACCTATCTTACTAATTAGCTGATGTACTTATTGAATTATATATGTTATTTTTTGTAGCAAAAAAAGTCATTTGAATAATGTACTTGAAAGAGCATGTAACTTACCATTAACATACTCTGATGCATACAATACAGACATAGCTGTTGTTTGTAAAGTATTGCCTTCGCTGCCTGCTTCACTTGGCGAATCTGATATCTTCACTTCAGATTTTGGGCTAGGAAGACCAACAGCGGTACCTAAAAAAGATAAGATGATACATCTTAACCCTTTGAGTGCTATGCAATGATATATCTTTGTTTACTAAATTCTCCAAGGGACGTATAGAGGAAGTAGGTAAAAACATATTACACATTGAACATTCCTGAATAAAATAATATTGTTTAGTTTTTTTTGCAGAAATTGACGTAAATGAGGTACCTTTTTTCTTTCACTGTGTAACGACAACGTTTCTTACAAAATAGGTCACAAAAAAGAGAAAGAAAAAGTATTGCGTTTACGTCAAACATGGTTCTGCAAAAAAAAATTAACAATATTATTCTATTCAGAAATGTTTTATGTGTAATACTTTTCATTGGTTTGAAATTACAAATATTGTATTTTCTATCCTTTCTTTGCCACTACAGATTATTTTACCATGTACAATTTGGAACTAGCAATATCATCAGTTGTCTAAAAACATCTAAAATCGAGTTTAGTGAATGTGTAGCTTTAAAGAGTTTAAATGGGTTATGTTCTGCAAGAAACAAAACATGCATAAAACAAAGAGTTTGACTTGCTTGAGCAATATTTTATCTCTATATATTTAAACAGAACAGCATCTAAAAAAGTGCCTTTTATACTCTGGGCTGCGTCGGCTTCTGCCTGTAGGGAGTGGGGGGAGCTAGATCGCACGGCCAACACTGAGCCAGCGATCCATAAGTTGTTTATATCGTTGGGTTTTACTGACAAACAAGTTTTTTTTTCCTAAAAAACACTATATTATAATAATCTTATCTAACTAGATCAAGGTTTAATTCATTATCACATTGTAAACAAGATGTCTTTAGATTTTATGAGACTTTGGTTTCAAATAATGCTATCAGACCATTAAAATTTATAAGAAAACCTGAAAATTTACAAGAAAACACAGTTTTATATAATTTTTACTGCAAATACCAAGACTTTTCTCTGTTATATATTGTTTTATTGCCTTATTATTCCAAATTAGTATGGTTAGTAAAATAGTAAGAAGAAATCAGTCACAATTCAACAACAGGTAATAAAATTAAAAGGTACTAAAACAAAAAGTCTTAAAAAATAAAAATATTAGCATAGCACTCAAAGGGTTAGTCCATACTTAAATTATATCCTTGTGTTAATGATTTCGGTTATTCAGTAGCATGATATACTTCGTTCACAATATTTAGGCGGTTTTAGGGGAAGAAATCTATTCCCTCCACTTGACCCTTACCTTTCAAATAATAGCTCAACAGCTGATTAAGCTACATACATTAAATACAAAAAAGTGGTGGGAGAACTTCATCCCAAACCGCCTAAATATTATGAACCAAGTACTGTATAACTGTGAAAACAAGGTAGGCTAACTAGTTTTTGGGGATTTTGGTTCAAGTATCGCCATTTAAAATATATCAGTCCAGTTTATTCACATTCTCTACCGTCTCACCCTTTACTATGCTTTATAGGTTTCCAAAACCTTTGAGGGCCATGTAAACTGGGCCAATAAAAAAAATGCTCAGTGCTCAATTTAAAAAAGAGGCCAAGCAAGCTCTTAAAATGACAATTATTCTATATTATTATTCAAATTATTACTTCCATATTACAAGTTATTATTGTATTGTGACTTTGGCCAAACCATCAATAGTATTATCAATTATCAATTATTTAAGATGGGGACGCCACTATGTGCGTATTTTAACCCAAATATGAGTGAAGGATGAGTGTAGGATGAGTGGCACGACCTTGTAGTCTTGTTAGTGACTAAGGCCGACATGTTCCTTAGACACAGCTGTTAATTAATAGCCCATACAGCTAATGGCAACTAAGGGACCTACGGTTTATTGTGGAATCCGAACCACAATCATTTTCCAATTATTAAGTATACAGCCAATACAAATATTCTATGACACAAAAAAAATCTTAATCTAAAAATATTCTGATGTTAGGGGTAAATCAATTATAGTGTCCACAAGTTATTAATTAAGTTAGATTAGACATTAGTTTTTATTTGATTAACAAGGTTATAATAATTGTCTTACAGGGTGTCCACCAGGCCAAAAAAAAAAAAAATCATGAATAATTCATAAGTAAAAAAAACTCGCTATTTTAGCTATTGGAAAAAGCATTCTCAGTTTAAGAAGCAAAATTTATGATTACTCTAATAATGCCTGACACAAGTACGGTATTCAATTTTTATATACAGGGTGCGACAAAAAAAACGATCTATTTTCTGAAGAGCACTGTTTAGCAACAGGTCGTCCGAGAGTGGTGGGAGTAGGCTCGTTGGAAAGCCTACACAATGCCATTTTTTGTAGTCATAGAGCAGTGGTCACCTGATCAAGTGCAGTTGTCATGGAGTAGTTTTTATAAAATAGTGAATTCATTCTTTGCTACTCAGCGGCAGTTTCATGCATTCTTTAATTAAAGCGACATGGAGAAGTTCCGTTGAGTATCACAATAATGCGGTGGGTTACTTACTTTAGGACAACGGCTTCTGCGTTGAAAAGGAAGCTGACAGGCCGTCCAAAGTCAGATCGGACGCCAGACCACTAACATTCGATAGAGTTCGTGCTGCTGTGGAAAACAGTCCTCGTAGGCCAGCCCGAAAACGAGCGACTGCCTTGAACATGTCTGACCGCTCAGTTATACAAATTTTGAGGTTAATTTCAATCCCTATGGATTAGAATAATAATCTGTGTAATTTGGTAATCACCCATACAGATAATCACGACGGAACCTCTCTATGTCGACCTAATTGAATAAAAGCACGAAACTGCCGCTGAGTTGCAAGGGCTAAATCATTACCTTTTAAAAACAACTCGATAACAACCGGACGTAGCTCATACAAACACTGCTCTATGACAAAAAAAAAGGCATTCTATAGGCTTTCCAACGAGCCTACTCCCACCACTTTCAGACGACCTGTCGCTGAACAGCGCGCTGCAGAAAATGGATCGGTTTTTTTGCCCCACCCTGTATTACTGATTTCTTGATTTATTCTCCCAAGTGGAGGTGTTTAGGGATAATCTAAGTAAAACTACGACGAAAAACGAATTGGAACTCTAAAATAATCAAATGTATTTCTCATTAATGTTTTCATGACAAGGAACAATATTGGACAACAAAACAGACAGCTGATAGTAAAAACAACATTCATATAATCTGTATGACTATCTTATATACTTATAAAAAACAAAGCCCTCACTGACACACTCACTCACTCACTCATCACTAATTCTCCCACTTCCCATTTACCTAGGAGGCTGAAATTTGGTACACCGATTCTTTAGGCATTAAATAGAAAAACTAAGTTGTTTTTATTCTGATCGGACTCTCGGGCTCCGCCCCAGTGGCTCTGGAGTTTCCCATGTTAACCCTATGATTTTTCATGTTTAAAAGGAATTAATGAATCTTATCAGCTGTTTCAATTAAACAAGTTGGTTCTGTTCTATGATGTTCAATAGCATTAAAGTTACAAGGATTACCAACAGGGTGCAGCACTATATTTTTTTTTATTTATGACAACAGCTAATTTGCAACTAAAAGGTGAGTGAGCGTAGCGAACGAACTTCAACCAGGACGTGATTGAGCCATGCGAACGAGCTCATCTTGAAAATTAAGAAGTTAAACGGGGCAAAACCCGCGGGTACAGCTAGTTTCAAATAAATAGAAAAGGCAGGCATTTTTAACATTTTCCCTTATTTGCATAGTCATTCAGAGAGTCCAAGACTTTCTCTCAGAACTTGAAGTCTTGGTCGAGGTATAGGCTTTGTTAGTATCTGCTAGTTGATATTCCGAACCGATGTGCTTTACAGTCAGCATACATATATTTATCCTGTCTTGAATGAATAGGTACTTCCGCTGAATATGTTTTGAACGAAAGTGAAACTCAGGGTTTTCACAGAGTTTTCTTGCTGATTTGTTGTCAACTTTCAGGATAGGTAGAGCAGAAAATCCTATAAGTTCATTGAACAAACGAGAAATCCAGATTGTTTCTTTTTGAACCAAGATTAGCTGCAATGATTTCAGCTTCACAAGCTGAGTCTGCAACTAACTCCTGACGACGACTAAGCCAAGTGATAGCTGCACCCGCGTATTTAATAATAACTCCACTTGTTGAACGCATTGTAGTTGGACAACCAGCAAAGTCCGCGTCACTATAGCACTCCAGTAGACGTGTTATAGGTTTGGATTGGTACACTACACTAGCTTCTGGTCCACAGTGCCGGTCAAATAGCGTATGACACGCTTTGCTCTTGTGACATCATCTTGTGTAGGATTTTCTAAGTGACGTGATAGAACACTTACACTAAATGCAATGTCAAAACGAGTACCACGAGCAACATAAAGTAGGGCTCCAACTGCCGATCAGTATGGAAAATCGGAGGCTTTCCCTGGTGTTTGAGCAGTGAGCTTCTCTATGGGAGTAAGTACTGGCTTGCATCCTTCCATGTTGAATCGAGAAACGATCTTCTTGATATACGCTGATTGGCAGACCAATATATCACCATCACTTTGAGAAATTTTGAGTCCGAGAAAGTATGAAACTTTAGCAACAATTTCAAATTGTGAACGAAGTTGCCCGATAAATAAGTCCATTTCAGTCTGACTAGTCGCTGTGACTAATCCGTCATCAACATAGAGTGCAACGATGATTTTTCCAGCAGGTGTAGGACAAATGTAGACGCAGGGATCTTCACGGCTCTGTCGAAATCCTAAGCCCTTTATGAAGTCGTCAAACCGTTTATTCCAGCATCGAGGTGCCTGTTTCAGGCCGTATAAGCTGCGTTTGAGACAACAAACACAATTTGTCCCATCTGAATATCCTTCAGGCTGCTTCATAAAAATCTCTTCTTCAACGTCTCCTTACAAGAACGCAGTTGAGACGTCAAACTGCCGTAGAACCATCTTCTCAACAGCTGCGATGGACAATATTGATCGAACGACCTCTGGACGAGCAACCGGGCTGAAGGTTTCAGCATAATCAATATCAGGTCTTTGCGCATATCCTTTGATTACC